AAATCATCGAATAGTAATACTTGCTTGATCTTCATGATACTGTGTCAGCAGTGTAAGGTTCTCCCAAACCCTGCTGAGCCCCATTCTTTGTCTGCTTTATACCACTTGCAGTAACCCAAGGCCAGTCTAAGGTTCAAGGCACTAGAATAGGAAGCCAGTTGGTGATATTGCTTAATAATCTTGAACCACTGTGGAAAAATAACAAAACTGATTTATTAGTTATATCCTTTCTTTTAAGAGAATGTATTTTAATATTTGGGAAAAGAAGCTAAGCAACAAAAATACTTTTAAAATTAATAAATATTGTTTTCCTTGGTTTACTTTATACTTTCTGTTTTAATGAAGGAGCTCTGACTTTTGATTTCTCCTTAGTAAACTAAAATAATTTTTCATTTGTTTCATCTTTAAACATGGGAGATTGCATGATCTGCTTTTGGAATTTCAGCAATGTGGTTTTCCCTCTGTGTTACATGAAACATTTTGAAATTTGAAATTGTTTCTCCATGTATACACACACACACACACACACACACACACACACAAGGAATTTGAAACCCAATGAACCTAATATTTTCATATTTGCACAGCTTCTTTGGGCAGTTGCACATAGTTGACAAGAATTTAAAAAATAGATTAAATCTGGTTTACATGTAAGTTGCATTTTCTAAGATTGTTTAACTTATTTTTGTGCTATATCCCTCTTCAATAACCCACCTAGAGTCTTTCCCTTTCACTGTTCTGAAAGAGTTGGAACCTAGAAATGGCCTGCTTGTGAAGTACCAAGCCTTATCTAAACCAAAGCTTTCACCCTTTCCATCTTCTCTAAGAGGGGTGATACAGCTTGAGTCTGAAATGTCCACAGACTTGTGTTTTGAATGTTTTGTGTGGGACTGGCTTTTCTTTTAAAGTTGTGGTCATTAGGATACAGGGCTTTTGTGACAGAAGCAGGACACTGAAGGGGGCTTTAAGGCTTTCCCTGTTTGTGGCTGTAGCCTGCAGTCTTTATTTCCTGGCCTACTACCACAAGAACATCCATTATAAGAACTACTACTGTCATAGAGCAAGTGTCTCTTTACCACCATGATTTCTCCTTAAGTTTCTTCTGGGAGGTGTTTCCACAACAACAGGAAGAAGAATTAACACAGAATCGAATTCTTCATCCCTGGGGCAAAAACATTCACTGTGGAACTCACATTTGAGAGGAATTTACATTTCAATCCAACTCACAGACTGTTTTTAAGAGTTGATGGCAGCCTCAGCAAACTTTGGGGCCTCCAATACTAGATCAGTATTTATCCCTGGAATCCAAAAGGACTTTGGGAGCCCATCCCACAAGAAGGGATGCTCTCTCAGCCTGGACACATGGGGGAGAGGCTAGGCCCTGCCCTGGATGATTTGACAGACTTTGGAGATCCCCCATGAAGGGCCTCACTCTTCTTGGAGAGTTGAGTGGAGATTGGTTGGGGGGCTAGGGGAGTTGGTAGGGGGCGGGGGAGGAGGGGAGGGAGAGGGAGATAGGATTGACATGTGAAAGCAAGCTTGTTTCTAATTTAAATAAAAATATATAAACACACACACACACAAAATGTTACATGCAAAAGACACAGGATTTTTGTACTGCAAGTTCATGTCAATATGAAGTAATAAAAGTCACTAAAAAATAAAGAGTGGATGGCACAAAAAAATCAGGCTATTTTTTTTAAATGAAAATCATTTCAAAGTACCATGTTTCTTTACTTAAATTAAGTTTTTATGTTAACGTAGTTTTAGAGTCACAGAATTATTTCAAAGACAAAGCAGAGTACCTATGTTTCTCCCACTCAGATTCCAACTAGAATTAACACCTCATATCATTACGGAATACAGTATGGGACATTTGTCAAATCTGCCCATTGTTCGTCCATTAGTAATGCAATCTACACATTCTTCAGATTCCCATGCCACACGCTGGGTTCTGAAGGGGAATTTAGCACAAAAACAAATCTGCTTTATTCCAGGATCCCATGAAGGGATCTACATTTCACGTTACAACTCACTGTCTTTAGCTTTATTGCTGAGAACCATAAATAGACTGACATAGTGTATTCATGAAAAAAAAAACATAGAAGTAAAATCCCATTTCGATTGCTTCCTACCCAGGGTATGTAAAACCATGTAACCAGCTGACAGCCCTTAATTGTTAGACTTGCCATGGCGTTTATCAGTTTACTCTGCTATGAACTTAGGCCTTATTCTCTCCATTTCTGTGCTACCTTTTAAATTGAAGTCAGTATACAAAACTCAGAGTTGGAGTTATTTTCGAATTTAAGGACAGAGTGCTGTGAAAAATGAAAAATAAATGATGCAGGATAGACATTGGGGTTCAAGGTAAAGATCAGGGAAGCAAAGCAGTCAAGCTACTAGAGAGAGAGCTCTTACCTCTAAAAGGGTTGGGGTTTTCCTATTCTCAACATGACTGGAGAATGGAGGCCTCTATCCTCAATATAGCTGGAAAATAAATGCTCGATACTGAGACCTTGCTCCTATCTTATATAGCTCCCTAATGCTGGGATTAAAGGAGTGTGATCCTAGGTGCTGAGATCATCTTTGTGTGAGCTGTTTCTCTTTAGGACTGAATCAGTCTGTGTAGATCTGGATGACCTTGGATTTACAGAGATCCATCTATCTCTTAATCCTGAATTCTAGAATTAAATATGTGTACCGCCACCTCTAGCTTCTGGCTTCTGGGATTGAAGAAGGTGTGTGCCTAGCTTCTATGGCTTGTGGATGACTTTGCTTTCTAAATCTTCAGGAAAGCTTTAATAAATCATAATGTATCACTACAAGTATGCACATGGATAATCCAAAGTCATCCTGTATGTGTATTTGCATGTGATCATGCACTCACATTCTTTTGTTGCATCTTTTATTGCTAGCAATAAGGATTCATAGATTTTTTAAATTTTGTATTGTGATTAATAACCCAATGCTGGTGTAAGTCCATGATAAACTTACCAATTAAAGTACAGCTCCTCTATGATGTCCATTTATTCTCTGAGTTTACGTACTTTAGATACTTCTAGAATGACTTGTTTAGCGTTTTATTTTCAACCCCTTTAACTGTGAGTGGCCCTTTTACCTTTTATTCATTTACATACTTTCTGCATAATTCATTGTCCAACCCAAGATTCCCTGATCTTTTCCAATGGAGCCCATGAAAGGTTCCATTGCAGCTGGTTCAGTTTCAGCCAGTGTGCAACATCACGAATTTAATATAACACCATACAGCACCATTGTGCTACCAGGAAATGTCCCTGTTCAGCACTCCCCATTTTTCCATACTCCTGAAAAAACTATGTTTCTTGGAAAAGTCTACACAGGGACTGAACACCTCCAGAATTTACCATCAAATCAAGGATTTGTATGTTTATTTCTCATTTATGGAAGCTATATTAAGCAAAACAAACATTGCCTAGTATTCCATGTTTCTTAGAATTATGAGAATCAAGGTTTAGATTTTTAGCATTTGTCAAAACAATACAAAGCAAAGTATCCTAAGATGGAGGAAAAGGACATTAAAATGGTAGAAAATAAATGAATTTCAGAGGCCAAGTAGCTGAAATGACAGATCTTATTGATTTTTACATTTTAGTAGTTTATTTTAATTAAAATATATAAAAAGGTTTTTTGGATTTAAAATTTTTATTCCTATTTTTTTGGGGAGAGGATGAATGAATTTACCCTCCTTGGCTGATTGGCTCTTTTCTTTCTAATGTTCTTCCTCTCTTTCTTATTTTCTCCTACATAATTGCTTACTTGGTGGGTCTCTATGTTGTTGCAGATACTCTTCATAGGTTCTTGGAATATCCAGTTACAAAAGCTACCTGCGCCTTTGAGGAGTCCATATTACTACTAAGGCAGGAAAATATGAATGGATACTTATTATATAGTAATTTTATATTGATCTATTAATTTCACAAGGAAATTGAGAAGGAACTTGCCTTGTAGGGCCAGGGAAAGCTCCCAGTTTAGATGGCGATTAATCCTTGAAAGAGGGTTGTCATGAAGGAGAGAGAGATAAGAAAGTTCAGTATAAAATATCTTGTTAATTAAGAGCTGTGGCAATATTGAAGAACTGCCAGATAATTATAGCTAAAGATTTACAGGTGGGAAAGAGACTGTAGGGATTCAGAAACCAACATAAATTATATTTTATCCATGGAATGATGTGGCAGCCACAACAAAAAAAATTATAAGTGAGGAAATGATAATGCCAAACAACTTGTTTCAAGTCTCACCCCGAAATGACTGATGAAGAAATCTAGAGAGCATATAAAAGCTGTTCCTTGAAATTTCATAAATGTCCATTACTGCAGACAAAATGAGAAATGATGAGTTATGTGTAGTCACTGACAGAAGGGAAAGAGCAGAGTAAGGAGTATATGATAAATATTTCAACTGAAACACAGGATTGAATCTGAGTGGGCTTGTAAATATCTGTAGTCCTGGCTACTCAGGAAACTTGTGTAGTTGAATCCTTTCAACTCAGAAGTTTGAGACCAAACGAGTAAGACAGTAGGAATAACAAGAAGGTAGTGAGCCAATACCGAGGGTGTAACCAAGGGAAACAAATATCAACCATCCTAGTCACCAATCTTCTTAAAGAAGTTAAAGATGTTATGTTATTAAAGGCACCTTTCATCCAATTTTATCTTGTGCATTTTGTGACAATATTTCTAAAGATGAGAGTCAAAATTTATATAAAATATTAATTTGGAAGGATCACAGTCTAGATTCAATTCTTATTGTCTACATCTTACTAAAGAAGAATTTAAAATGACTTTAGAGTCAAGAGATTCATATATTTGACATAAAAAGGAATTTAAGCTTAGAATGTATTTTTGCTGCGGGGCACATCTTAGTGCTTTTGAACATACAAATTGTGGAAGCTTAAGTGCTCAACCACATTGATGTCTGATAGCAGCCTAGATTTTAATCTGAAATAATCTTTTCTCTGGCAGGATGAGTCTTTAAAGCAATTGCAGGTTGTGCATCAACCATGGCTCTTGCCAAGCGACACAGAAAGTGAAGGATTTGAAGCAGAGCAGGACAAACGTGAGTAGCTTCCATGTTGTATGACAAATGACTTACTAAATTCCACAATGGCTTTGATCCAATATTTCCTAATTGGGATAGAGGTTGATAAGCTAACTTTGGAAACATGAGTTGTTTTTCTTGAGACCAACAGAGGATGCCCAGCTAAGATCTCTCTTCTGAATACTATATGATAGTGTTAGTGACAACTTGGGAGTATTTGAAAATTTCAAAACATTATATATAGGATTGGGTAATTATTATATAAGAAATTGTACTTCTCAGATAAATTATGAATACAATGGTCTTAGGATAAGCATCTTAGAGTACAAAAGTGACTTTCTAATTCTGAAGCAATTGCTAACAACCTGGAACATGCATAGAAAAAACATGCACACACATGTAAACCCATTCCTCTCCCTGTCTTGTCCACCCATATTTAAATAGACATGAGGTCATATGTTATTGTTTTTTTCAGTTATTTTCACCAAATTCTTTTGAAGCCTTCATAAAATTTATACTGTAAAATAAACCCAAACCACCATTGCAGATATTATATAGACATGCTATGTGCATAATTTGAGTTTATTTAGCTATCAAATCAAACAAAGGTGCCTGAATTTGGCAAAACCAACATTTTTACAGAATTCCATTTGATAATTGCCTCTGTGTGACTCTGATAATGAACTGAAACCTGAATATAAGTAAAGGATCTATGACAATGCATTGTTAGCAATCACATGTTCAGACTTACCTCCTTTCTCTGTAACCCATGCTTATGACTAGTTTTAAGACTAGACTACACAGTCAAGCAATATAAAGGATGCAAAAATCCTCAGCGCTTTCTTCTCTCTAGGATATTTAACACATATTGTACTTTCACATATAGTCTTCCTAAACTTCTGAATTTTCTCCTCTTCCAATGAGGTGTAAATTAGTACATTTAATAAGCCTCCACAAATACAAGAAGTGTGGATCTGTATGTGTCATTGAGCGAACAAATGAGGGGATTTTGTGCCTTTCAACTTGTTTAATAAGGAAAGTTTGATTTAAAAAAATTAACTATAATATTATTATAAATACTACCTATAGTTATATTGCATGCCTAGTTTTATTCATGGATTTTGTTAATTTATCCATCAATCATTCTAAAGAAGGACATTTTTAAACCCTTATAATCAGACCTATGATCAAAAATAGTTGACCTCAGCAATGGTGTACAAAAGGCAACCCTTGACAATAGTAAATTGTTGGAAATAATAATTAGATGGTAACAAGAGCCATCTGGAAATGAAATGTTAACATGCACTGTAGCTGGACTCAAGCACAGACATGCAAGCATTTGTCAAAAGTGGCTTCCGACAGCCAGGGCCTGGGACATGTGCAAATTGGAGCCACTGAAGCCCTGGCATCTTGTCCACTTGAGCTCCATGCGTGTGGTTTGTGAGACAGCTGGAAGCACCCAGCTAGATCATCTACATCTGTTTTCTCAAAGAAGGAAAATAGATGGTACAAATCTGTGAGAACTCGGTAGCCTACTTGGAGTTTACAGCTTTACATGCTGGGAATTGAGTTTACAGCTTTATATGCTGGGAATTGGTACGTATGGAAGACAGCAAGTTCATCTTTCCAACTGTAACACCTGTTTATTAACTCAGCTTTTTACAAATAATACCTAGGGAATGTTATGAAATTATTTAGTTTCTCCTGAGACAAAACCATCACAGAAGAAAGTTTCCAGAAAAATCTCAGGATCTTTGCAGTAGGTGCATATTTCTAATTGCATTGCTATAAAACAAGATTTAGCTCAAATAGGTTTTGCTGTTATTGTTACTTAGTTTTGTTTTTTTAATGTGTACCTGTAAGAAAAGATACTTCAGAACAACTGAAGGGAAATCTTTATAAGATTCTGTTCTAAACAAGCAGAATTCTTGGTTAGGGAGATTTCCTCTTTACTATCTTCATTAACAAATTACAGAATAAAGAAATTCCTATCTAGGGTTCACATGTATGTTTGGATTTATCAGATTATAATCCAAAGACACTATATAAACTAAGGACAGATGTCTGGATCTATAGGAGTTCTGCAGGACCTTAAATCAGAAGCTCTGTGCATTTTACAGGACTATGATTTCTCATTTTTAATAAATCCTTGGGTGAATTTTGCTTATCCTAAAAAACTGGTAAAGAAAAATTTAAGGTAATAGTATAGGGGAAAGGGGCCAGCTGAAGAAACACACCCTGAGCAGAGTCAAGGAAACACACTTTGTCCCTACAACTAGAACCAAAGAAATGTACCCTGACCCTGAAACCAGTGCCAAAGAAACATTCTTTGTTCCTGGAATCAAAGCCAGTGAAAGAAGTACACCCTGGCCCTAAAACTAGAGAAAAAGGCTAAAAAGGACCAGAGAAAGAAACATACTTTGGCCCTGAAACCAGAGCCAAATCTGACCCTAACTAGAAAACTAACCAAACACTGAGCAGGAAATCTAGTCATACTAAACTCAGGGATTAAAATCTGACCAATCCCTACCCTTAAAACTATGCCCCTAAAAATCCCTATATAAACCCTGTGTTCACCTTGTGGGTGTTCCTGCTGCCTGGCTGTCCTCTGTCACTCTGATTCTTCCCTCCCAATAAATCTCTTGAATGAGGTTTGGGTGAGACCTTCTTTCACAGAAATAGAGACGACCCTGGGTAGAGCAGAGTAGAGCATGACTGTAACACTTTTCCCTGGGGTAATCTTCCCCTGGTGAACTGAAGTTATTACACTCTCCTGGGTAAAGGAGCTGAACTGTAACAACTTTTTCAGGGAAACCCTCTCCTGCCAGAGCAGAGCTGATAAACTGAGGAAGCCTTTCCCTGAAGCAAGGCTGTAAGCTGCTATGCTTACTGTGCCCTGTGGTATTATTCCTTGCCTCCTGAGTGCCAGAATGCCTTTCTATCAAAGCTGTGACACTCAGTATTCTTTGACTTCCGAGTGCCAAAACCCATCCCTGTCCATTACCCATTACATCCAATCTGTTGAAATGCTTACAGTTAGAAGTTAGTGTTCTTAGTATTCATTTCATATTGGTCCTCGTCTTTCTAGATCTTTTTTTCCTGTTATTTAGAAATCAAGTTTGTATGTGAAATCTGTGGTAGAAGAAGAAAAAATACTGGAATTGGAAGGAGTGAGCATAGAGGGAAAGAAGGGGCAGATCTCTACACTAAAGTTAAATGTTTATAAAGTCAAAATTGAAATACCAGTCATCATTCTTTATTTACATCTTGTATTTAAACAAAACACTTCTGTGTGAGAACACTAAGAAGTCTTGGTGTAGTTCCTTTAACACGGTTCTTTTGGAATGTATGCAGCCCTAAGTTTCATCTTTAGCACAACAAAATAACTAAAAGCTAAAATCAAATAAGGAAACAAACAAACTGCCCAACAAAACCGACAAAAAGATACCTGTTCAAAATAAACAAGTCCCAGACAGGCATGTAATTAGCATCTATGATGCTAGCACCCTTGAGGCTGCCAGAGGAGGATCCTGAGCTTATGGCCTGGAGTCAGGGCTACATAGTCAGACACTGTCTCAGAAAACAAACAAAGGTCAGAATGATACATGCAGTCTAACTATACTATGTTACACTGACATGTCAGAGATGGCTTAAAATTCTAGGAACTCCAAGGAAGTCCAGGTTTAGGTCCTGTTGTCTAAAGCCCATGGAGACACTCTGTGTCTGTTGGGAGGATAGACTATCCTAATCCCAACACCTGAAGAGCTGCTATGGTATGGAAAGCTTGTGACCCCCAGCTGTGGAGAAAGCCAGGAAGTTTGTTCTTTGTGGGATTTAGTTGAAAAAGGAGTTATCCATACAAAAACAAATGTCCAGTTCTCAACTTACTTGGGTTTGAAGGTGAAATTCCTAGACTGCAAAGAACCTAAATTGTTGCATAATCTGGCCTTTCTTATTGAAATTCATAGGGCCTTTTCCTCAGTAAATGCAAGAACTGAGAAATTTGTAAGGCTTTGAAAACCAGCTCTCTGGAGATGAGCTCTAAGGCAAGATTTAGAAACTAGGTGAAAAGTTACAGTAATGCAAAGGCATGCCAGTGGGTGAAGAAAAGAGTAGACCTGGCCAGATCAGGATACAAGGGAACAGGAATATCAAGAAGAGTTCACATCAATTTGAAGACGGAAAATAAAGCCAGAAAAGGATCCTAAAAAGTTAAGAATGTTAGAAGACGTGGATATTTAGAAGCTACCAAGTAATTTCTTTTTGAAAGCTACAGGATTTACCCAGCAATGTTTTCTAATGATACTACAGTGAGGTTATTGTTAACCTAGTTGTTGATGTTCTACTCTCTTTATCCTGTAAGCAGACCTCCAGTGCTTCTATGCATAATCCATCTGCCACTCACTGTCTTCTGGCCCTTGTGCTTTCTGAGAATTGACAGTAGTTATAATGAGGACCCTTTGTAGATGGAGTGATGCTTTTTCCAACTTCTTCTAAGACTGTCTCTCGAGTTTTGGCTTTTGACAAAGTTTGTATTAAGTATCAGCATCTTAGAGCTTCTCCTTATGGAAATCAATATATCTTTAATCTAATACATGTTTTGTTTATTTTTAACCTTTGTTCATTCAAAAAAATCTGTTCTCTCTCATCTTTATGTTTCTTTTTTGGATTGCAAAATATAACATTCTTGCCAGTGTTTCAAGAATCTCTTACTTCATCTTTCTCTTTAATATTTTTGTTCCTTAGAATGAGTTGTCTCAAGTACAATTATCTCTTTCTTCCTTAAAATGGATGATCTCAGTTGACCTATCTTTAAACTCTTTGATTCCTTCTTATGTCTGCTCAACTCTGTTATTGAGCATCACTCCAATGAATATGCATTTCAACTCCAGAATTTTTTCTCATTGTCATTTATAATTCATATCTTGTTAATGGTACTTATCATAACATCTTTCTCATCTTTTCATTAATTTTGACACCACTTCCATAATTTCTGAATACATATACAATTCATTATT